GCTGCCTGTCTTAGGCGGTCAGTGCGAATTCCTCAGTCTTACCAGTCATTGAAACTCATTGCAGCATGACAATGGCTCTGTCTTAAGTTGCCAACAGATGTACTCTTAACCACTGTGCCACCAGGGCTTTTAAGCAGTGCTAGTCACAGTAATTACAACATTGATTTTTTTCCTGAAAGTTACTGTCCACTTGAAATTTCTAAAAATAAATTATATAAGTGATTGTCTTTGGTTTGCTGTGCTTAAAAATCACTCTGGACTAAAAGAGTAGACCTTGCAGATTCTTTTTATTCTCATGGCTGAGACTGCAGCAAGTAGAAATGCTGAATTATTTTTTGCTTTAAAATTTTTGTTGAAAACTGTACTTTCAGTAATGGGAGGCATTTTGAGTGAAAGAGGAAAATATTTTTAAGGTAATATGGATTTTGATGAAATTACTGGAACCCATGTCCCAGGAGATCTCTGGGGCTGTGTTGAGGCCTGTTTCTTCAGATTCACTTTACACATTTTGATGACACCACATACTAAAAGTAGGAGAGCACTTTTCCCAGTGAACCCCAGAGGCAGAAAATGTAGGTGAGCCTGGTCTGTCCCATGGTTATCTGTGAAGTCTGGAGGGCGGGAACACCCAGTTAATTAGAAAATCCAGTTGAAATAAGTTATGCATAGTTGTGGCGCTGCAGGATAATACACTGGACCACAAGGTCCCCTTGAACCGCAAGGTCAGCAGTTCAAACTCACCAGCCACTCCTTGGAAAACCCTATAGGAGGTCCCTATGAGTTGGAACGAACTCGACAGTGCTTAACAACAACAACAAATAGATTTTTATAGGTTTTGACTGGACATGAAGACCATGTTCATTTTTCTGGGACAATAAGAGTGTAAAGGTGTTGTGAAAAGGATCCTGTATTTTTACATTAATCCCTACTTCTGTTCTATTAGACATCAGAGCATTATGATTTCGTGTTGGTCTTAGGACCAATACCACAGTAGAATCAATTGTACAAGAAGCCCAGGATCCTTGGGAAAGGACCAATTTTCCTGAGATTGACTTTTATTTTGTTAGATATTTAGCCCAAAGTGAAAGGAGACCCTGAAAATCATTACAGGGGCTCATCCTGGGGAGTGAGAGTCATGAGTTTCTCCGTGTTCCACCATAACATTGGAAACACATTTGTTAGGTCGCATAATACTGCTGCTGTGAAATCTAAAGCTGTGGTGTTGGATTGCTGGGAGACTGGCTCTCTGCGGGGGTTGTGGGATGTCGGGGACTGGACTCGACATAGTTGTGTTGTTCACAAGTGTTTGGTTTACGAGGAGGGGAGATCCAGCGGCAATAGGGATAGCGAAAGAATACACAGACAAACAGAAGAAGGGAGACAAAGAGAGAGACAATGAGGCACCCCAAAGCCAGGGTGGATACATCACTGGTGGGCAGGCTTGGGACTACAGGCATCATGGCCTCTGCAGGCAGCAAGCAACTCAGTGCCCTGCAATCTTTACTGCATGCCTTCCAACCAGTAATGCACACCTAGGGAGACCCGGGCCTCTGCTTTATTTAGGGACCAAGCTGGGAGGGACTTAGGCAAGGTACAGCTAACATCAGTACTTTTCCAGACACTCAGGTAACTTTACATCGTACTTCACTGGTTCGAATCCCAGGCCCACAACTTGGTTTCTCAGGCTCAATTAACATATCTATAGCCCCTGAGGTCAATTGGGGGAAGGTGAAAGGTAAGGACAAAAGCTTGGGCTTTGTCCCACTGTTTTGGCTTCCTGAGCCAGGTTTTCAGGAGGACT